AAATGTCTGTTCAGTAACCGCTTGAACGTGTGGATCGCTGTGTTATTACACATGGCTAAGCTGAGTCGAAGTTCGTCAGTCGAAATAAGAATGAAAATCAACAACAACAGCCACAGAATTCGTCGAGGAACAAAGGTGACAGTTTCAAGAGTAATGCGTGACGGGTAACGCAATTTATCCGACATCCGCGCGCTCTTTTTTTAAGTTATGGATAAAGTATAAATATAAAAGACTGATTTAACACACTCATCGAAAAAAAGGTGCCCTAAGCATTGTATAGTGAGAGTGAAACACTAACTATATTTTTATGTTTTTAAAATAAATTTTCTATGGTGGAATTTGGTCAATATTGAGTCACGCCTCGTCGTTATGTCCCTGAAAGTAATATTTTAATTATCATTTGATTAATATGCCTTTGATGTGAACAATCAGCATAGATTCTCTTTTTAATACCTTCTTTTCTTTCATACGTGCCTTTTTGTTAGCAGACAAAACGAGTTTCCGGTATTTTTGTTATGATTTTGTAGTGGCATGTTATTGATCTTTCTTGATAACTGATTAATATTCATTAATTTGCTACCCACGGACTCGGAAACCAGATGCCATAAAAACACGACCATGGTGTACTGAGTTGAGACACATTTGCTCGTGTTTGTTTCATGTTAACAAATCTATCCATCGATTACTCAGCTGTGGTTTGAATGGGATGAACAAAGCTGTAAACACAGCTCTTGAAGGCTTTATCTGCCCTGCATGTTTGGTCGACTTTCCGAGTGCATCGAAGCTTCAAGACCACTGGTTGAAGTTTCATTCGCCCAAAGTCACCGCCAGCGGAACTGATCGCGTTTCTGATGATTACGAATCTATACCAGATGATTCTTCACCGGATTTTGCTCCTCAGGTGTGAATTGTTTTTGTTTAGACAATGAGGAATTCAGGAGAAGTTTTGAAAATGAGATTCCTTGTCAAATGGCTTAGTATTTCACAGCAGGATTTCTGAGATATCGTTGACTCCGCAGAGCAAGCGTTGTAAATATTGACATTTTGTAATATTTATTTAGAGAAAACGACAGTTCTAACAGGGTTTGACTCTGTGATAGAAGGGAGTCTCATATGGAAGTAGTCTTAGTTCATTCGACAAACACAGATAATTTTTTTTGTGCACATATGGGGCCTCGAAACTAATTATTCGTTTCGTGAACGTGGGGGACATAGGTCTAACAGAATTCACGAATAATAGGGCTTATTGCAGCTTATATTCTAATTCAATCAAGATACAAGAAGCAGAAATAACAGTCCCCTTGATATTGTTAATATAATTTAGCTTCATCGTAGTTTCTCGTGAGAATTTTTTTTTACTTCCGAGTTATTTGTGCACGAATTCTGCAAAGATGTATCCAATACAAGCCTCAAACGCATCCGACATTGAATGTAGCAAAGTCCGAAAGAAATGTACATAGACTCTTAAACTATTTCTACGCCGTTTTAAATGAATCTTCATAATCGATTTGTAATCATTTTAAAGGACAGGATTTTTCTGTATTTTGAAATGGATCTTTTTAGGGAAATTAATTTTGTTACCTGTATTGATCTATTACACTTTTTAGGCAAATTAATTTAACCCAATGTACTTCAAGCTGTCAATAGCGCCAAATTAGCATATGAATGTCAAATATTTATTTTGGTGTCGAAATTTCTAGATTTTGTGGTCCAAATGAATCAAAAGAATTGCTTATTTATTGAATGGGTACTTTTCATTAATATGGCAATTGCTTACGATGTGTGTATGTGCATATATGGCTTTGGTTTCCTGTCAAGGAACTGCTCTAATATTTAAAATGAATTGGTTAGAACAGATTGTTTGCTTGTGATTTCACATTATGACTGGCTCTGACAGAGTTATGCTATGGTAATGAATGGTAAAAACCAAAAGAAAAACTATGATTAACCAAGTATAAACTGCATGATATGTGGAAGGAAATGGTGAGAGTTAACTTTGCTAATCTGGTCTGCAACAGAAAAATTGTATTTTAAAATTGTTTTAGCAAACAACATTAGCCACTTGACAGAATTTTACTGTGAGATTATGCCATGAGGCAATATTGCTCTACCTTTGTGTTTTCTCTTCATGAGTATTCTGCTGTGTTGATGTTAGTTTTAAAAATAATTAAACAATCACTCAAACATATGCATCGATCAGATTCTCAATTAAAAGACTTTTGCTATATCTGTTATTATTTAAAACAAGTTTTTAATGTTAGTTTTTCTTTTTTGTGTCCATTCAGTGATACTTGTATCAGTATAAAGAAATAGTTTCTAGATTTTTCTAACATCTTCCTTGATGTCACAAAAGATCTGATCGTGATATTACCACTTACTTTTAGAAATTGCTGTTAAATGGTGTGAATATCTCTCCTTGGAGAGACAAGTGCCATTCGAAGTAACCAAGAAGTTAACACTTTAACTTCCAAGATCCAATTGTTAATTCTTTCCTCTAACTGCCACACAATGCCTTGTAAATTAGTTGCAAGATTGTCAAGGGAACAACTTATACCTGATAAGTTTGAATATTCTTATTGCCTGTTTGCCAGAAAATGTATGGATATTGTTGAGAGAAGTTGGGTGTTAATCACATCTGGAAGTAAAAGGGTTGAAGGAAAGTAATGGATTGTGAAAGATTGAAAAGTTGATCAATACAGAGAACACATGACCAATTGCCTGAAAAGATCAGGCTGAATTTTTCATGCTATCATAATGCTGACTTTGCCTCTTTAAATGTAAGATCCTTTGTATAATAAGTTAAATCATGCACACATTTTGATTGGTTCTTACCTTAATGATCCATTGGAGGACAGGCACATAAATGACATTACCATAAATTTTTTTTGCTTCTTTGTCATATAAAAGAAATAGATATCATGTTGCCATGGGCCAGTGCAGTAATAGATTATGAGGAGGTCAAAATGTGGTAAGAACATTAGTGACACACTCTGTGCCACTTTTTTGTTCTTACGACATTTTGATGTCATCTGTTATCTATAAGTGCACAGATGCTAGGGAACATGGAATATAATTGTTAAGAGGTGATCTTCTTGG